CCCTCAACCAAACCCTAACCCTAAGCACATGCTGTTAATTAATTTTACTCAATAAAAAGAAAAGTAGGCTACTTAAATGTTTAATTACACTGTAACAATGATACCTTAAAATAAAGTGTAACCAAAAGTTGCCAATTTATTTTTGGCATTTTAATGTCTTTTTTTGTATTGTAGTCATTGTAATTTCTAAAAATGTAATTGTCTCAACAGTAAACATTTTTGAGCACTCATTACATACTATACCTCACAACAATGCATTTAATTATAATCCTTACTAAATATTAACAATCATTTATATATAAAAAAAATAATAATACAAAGTGTCTTTTAACACTTTTATTTTTTAGGTTTCTTAATTTCTTTCTTATAATTACTTAAATTATACATGCCCCAAGACATAAAAAAAATATCATGATTTTGAGTATGTTTTTCTGTTCATACAATGTGTTTATACTGGTACATTTCCAACAATTATCTTTCCCCTTGTTCTCCGTTCAAACAGCATGTGAGTGTGGTAGTCACAGTTGGGAAACAGGTTTTAAAGACCAGCTCTTCCGGCACTACCGGTCTGTATGAGGCACTGATTGAACAAACAAGTGCACAGACAGACAAACAGACAGAGAGGAAGACAAGCAAACAGATATTCTTGCACAACAAGCCCTAATGAATACTTCTATAGCCTTTGTTCTTATGTATCACATTTTTTTCCCAGAGAGATGCACTGCATAAACAAGGTTTTTTATGGTTTTGGAGCACATTCCTTGTTCGTTAATATCTCACCAGCAAAAAGCATTATGGGCCAGAACACACCCTGATTCATTGAGCTCTCTCACACACTTTCTGGTCTGAACAGATTGTGGGTTTGTATATTTATATATATATTTTGCACTGGATATATGACTATTAGACATTAGCAAAGACAAAGACTATTTAAGCACATATGCCATGATGAGAATATGCATTTGAGATTCTTCCTTTCCTGAACTTCAACTGAAAAGTGTCTGAAACTGTGTGGGTTCTCATAATAGTTCTGCCCTCTCCTGGCGGACATACGGGACTGCAGTGCAGAAACACACTCGATATACACCAGGAATCATCCAGCACAGACGTTTCAAGGCTTTGCGAGACATAATGCGACGCATTATTTAGAGGGTTAGTTCATCCAAAAATTACTCACCCTTATGTCCATACCCGTAAGACATTCGTTCATCTTCGAAACACAAATGAATAACGTTTAATGAAATATAAGAGATTTCTGTCCCTCCATTGACACTGACAGCTACTCAACTTTAAAACTTAAAAAAAATCATAATGAGATTGAAAACTAATCCATATGAATCGAGCGGTTTAGTCCAAATTTTCTGAAGAGACTCGATTGCTTTATATGATGAACAGATTGAATTTACGCCAATTCGTATTTCCATTTTTGGCGTGCTATCAACACGCATAATCGCTTTTCAGCGTGTTTATCAACGCCTTTGACTTAACGTTATATTACTGTATTATGTATATATAAATATATGACCTACCCCAACCCCGTCCCTAAACCTACCCGTCACTGGGGTTAATACCATTTATGAGTCTTCTCCTACCATCCTAGGAAAAGAAATATCGCTCCACAGATGTAGATATAGATTTTGCTTCGTTTCGCTCGGACATTTAACGGCGTACACATACACGCGGAATCACTCGGACATTTAATGGCGTAGACATACACGCAAAAGATTTCGGCGTGGACATACACGCGGATAGCTCAAAATGCGTATAGATAACACGCCACTTGAATTGAAAGTGGCGTGTATGTTTACGCAAAGTCATGATGTCATGTTGCGAACAGCGAACATAAACAGAAACTGAACTGTACATAATTGATATGTGAGAACAAACCTCATTGGCTCTTACAGAAGCTCAAACGTGCTGGAGAACAAACCTCATTGGTTCTCGCACATCAAGTGAACATGCTTGAGCTTCCGTTTACCACAACTGACGTGTGAGTTGATTTAGGCTCTTATAATAAGAGCCTAAATTCAATCTGTTCATCATATAAAGTGATCGTGTCTCTTCCGAAAAATTGCACTAAACCACTCAATTTATGGATTAGTTTTACAATCTCTTTATGAACTTTTTGAAGCGTCAAAGTTGTGAGGACTGGCAGGGCCAGAAATCTCTAAGATTTCCTTAAAATATCTTACTTTTCTCACCCTCAAGACTTTCGTTCATCTTCAAAAAACAAATGATGAGAGGATTTTCAACAAACCATTCAAAACTGTAGTCTAAATCTAGGATTAGACTTGATCCATTTCTGGCACCTACCACAGTTCACTATGAGACGTTACATATATACTGTACAATATCATGAAGTCATTAGGTGGCTTTACTAAAGCATTTTCCAGACCAGGAGGGATAGGTTTATTAAACAATGCAACAGAATCCACTATAATCTTCCAGCAGGGGTGCATCCATTATATAAGATTTATTTATTGTGAGTGTTATTTGTATATTGGACACAAATGTTGCTCATAAGATTAGTTGCAAGTATAAAAACATGAATGGAACAAATATAAATTAGATAAGAAACAGCAAAGTATATGGTAATTTCCATGTTTTTATTTGAGTGTAGTGTTACAGTCAAAGGATCAGAGGGAGAGAAAGATTTTGGTGTCTACATCATAATAATCAACAATAGTCTTTTTAAAAATCTACTGTAACAGATAATTACACATTTCATCCATGATTTCTAAGAATTCTATTTATTTATTTATTATTCATTGAGAAATTCTTTTCTCCCTTCATTGATTATGTTCACAGACACCGTAAGCCATCAAAATGATTTACCCAACACAGTAAAAAAGAAAATCAAGAAAGAAAATGCATAAGCACACAGAGGTAAAAACACATTCACCAAAACACACACCAAAATAAATAAACAAACAAAAATATAATGTTGAAGAAGATAAAATCTTTCAACCCTAGCTACTCAATAAGCACAAAAACTGTTTAATGCAAAGAACAAATGCTTTGAAATCAAGCAAACAATATATTTGAGATGTTTTAACCCCTTTTGTTTCCAATCAACTAAAAACTAAACAAGTAAACTCAGTGACCCAATAACCTAGTTAATAAATAACCATGTGAAAACACACTTTTGTAAGAAGATAAGGCCACAAAACCTAACAGACTGGACGATTCACACTGCAGACTTGTGTAGAAATGGCCTTGCAGACAGTTTGTTGTTTGCATTCGATGCTGGAATGTAGGGTGTTAAGCTAGCTATGCTTATGTTCCATAGTCAAACTGAATCATTTGAGGTGAAGTGTCTTGCTAAATAGCACAATTTTGGTTTGGTAACTCTCCCATTCCTGCATCACCCACACGCTACAGCACGTAAGACTCTATTCCAACCATGTCCTAGATTGAAAAGACTTGCCTTTTTAAATGTGCATGGTGATGATGATGATGATTTAACTTCATTGCCAGACAATTTCCTCCTGTGTGACATTATGTTCATTCACAAATCCCTTTTTTGTCAAAGGATATAAAGGATGCAGACAAATGGGAACTTGTCTTGTAACTCTCGTGATGCCTTGTGTTATGCAAAATAACATGATGCATGCAGATGTTGACTTAATATGTTATAGTTTTTAGTTGAAGTCTAACAAGCTGATTTTATTGGTTCACAACAGTGGCAAGAGTCATAATATTTGGCTTTAGTGTACATGAAGTGGGAAAATGCCACAAATGTGTTGCCTGGAATAATATGCAAACTAAGAGCAATGCTATTCCCAGAAACGAATACAATTTCAAAATCGTTTTTCTATTAGATTTGTGTGAAGGATGGATTAACAAATATGCAATGCAGGATAAGTACTTTTGTTGTTTGTTGCATTTACACTGGCTAGTATGGTAATATACTGTAGTGATTTTCCATTTGTCCATGTAGTTTGTAACACATAGATTATTTTAGAACTAATCTAAACATCACTTGTATCTGTGATGTTTGCTATAATATGTTATACGCAAAACAAAATACAAAATAAATATATATATATATATATATACACATCTATATATCTTTTTCATTTCTGAACTATACTAATAAAAAAACATCATGAATAAAGCCAAAATGTGTCAGCCTACCAGCACTGATTCAACAAAAGTCACATTCATTGGGGGTGATATGTTAGTCTGAACCCACAAAACACATTATGCGCATGAAACAAGCAATCTAACACAGAAGGAGATGCGATATTATGCAGTTTGCCGCAGACCACTGACATACCAAGGTTTTGTGTACACGTGTGTGCTGTTTTTATGCTGTTTGCTAATATGATTCAAATTGTCAAAGTGCAAAAGCAAAAAAACAAACAGCCAAATGTTAAGTGTCATCATTACAATCTATTCATCATGTCAGTGGCAAATTAGTACTAGCAACTATGTTAAACAGCATTTCACTATCTATCTATCTATCTATCTATCTATCTATCTATCTATCTATCTATCTATCTATCTATCTATCTATCTATCTATCTATCTATCTATCTATCTATCTATCTATCTGACCAACAGCACAGCATGCATGCCATGCAGACAATGCTAGTGATTCTTACGACACAATACCATTTTACCCATGCAACAATTAGCCAAGTCAATTCTTCAGTACAACAAAGGGGCGTTTGACTGAAAAAAAAGCTTTATTTACAGCTTTACTCGAATGTGTTCGTTTATGATGGACTACTCAAAAGCACCATGTTTGACTCATAATTTAGGCGAGGAAAGTTTGCAGAAACACTGACTCTACATTCGTTCTATAGCATCCAATCACTGTGTCACAGTACAGCAACAAAGCAGCATGCAACACCAACCAACCAGCTCTGTGACTAAACACACACACATGCAGATCTAACCTCTACTACACCACAACGCTTAACACACGACACGGAGAGAAAGAGCCATGCAAAACACAGCAGGGTATCTAACGCACTCACGGACTGCGGGGCTCGTAGACTGTGGGTATTGTGTGTGTGTGTGTGAGGAGGCAAGCTGCATCATAATCGCATCTACTGAAAACAGAGCATTTCGACAATACCAGGAAATACAGAAGCATATTACATAATACATGAGCATGCTCAGACCCACAGCTAACTAGCTTTTTCACGGCAGTGAAGGACAACACTGATCACTGATTGTAAACATGGAAAGATTGAGTGAGAGTGGGAGAGGCGGAGATGACACCGACCAAACGTTGATGCTATATACCGACACTGTACCGACCGGCGTTCATCATACAGTGAAAATGGAAAGTCAACAGAGAAAATGAGATGCCTGTTGATCTGCGAGTGTGCGTGTGAATGCATGTGCGTACAGATGATTTACACAGAGCATAGAAGGCTCTATAAACCACATACTGTATTTGCCATTATACAAAAAAAATAAACTAAATCAAACAATGACAAATCAAACATAACAATTCCAAAGGCCAAATTAGTCCCGCCCCCTTCCCAAAGAGAGAAACGGCCACAGAATGAAAATCCCGCCCCTCACTTCTTATTCTTGAGCTGATTGGCGAGCCAGTCGAGCCCTTCGTACAGACCGTCTCCGCTGGTCGCACAGGTCGCTTGTATATACCAGTTGCGGTGGCGGAGTGAGTGGAGGCCGAGTTTATCTGTGATCTCAGCTGCATTCATCGCGTTTGGCAGATCCTGTAGTCAAAAACAGTCAGGAAAATACGATGATGAGTAAATGCTTTTAAATAGAACCATGGATTTTATTCTGAAATAAGTACACAATTTAGCAGCAGAATTATGGACGATAGATTATGATTAAATGAAATTTAAACATATGTACTATCGTTCAAAAAGTTTGGGGCTGGTAAGATTTTGGCTGGTAAGAACCACATTTTAACCCTTTAAGTGTCACCCCCCTTTTTTTGAATATAGGCTACATGAAAATGCACATTTCAAACTTAAATGGTAGTAATTCAAGAATGCTTTGGAATATAGACGTAAGATTGGTCTCGTTTTAAAGAAGACGTGGCAGATTTTTGTAGAAGTGAAATAAATTAAGAAAGTGAAACAGAAAAAAAGTTATAGAAGTTTGAGTTTATGAAAATGTACAATGTAAAAAATGTAATTATTCATATTTTATAGAAAATATATATTTTCAAAACCTGGGCGACTCTAAAACTGCAAAAAAATCAAAGTCAAAAATCTGAAAAAGTTGTGTTTCAAATTTTAGATTGATATCTCAAAAAATGAGCTTTCAGTAAGATTTTGTTTGGGCGCAGTACCAAACTTTTTCACTAGATGACAACCAGACTCCATTACTGCCCATATAAGAGCGCCTCCATTTCCAAATGTGTTTTGAGTGATATGAACCATTATTTCCACAATTTTCATACAATTTATGAAGTAGACATCCTATTCATTAGTAATATGAGACGTTAGGCAGATTTTGATATGAATTCGACCTCTAAGAAACACAAAAAGAACAAGTATGTGCGTTATAGCTTCCTGCCACCGCACAAATGGTGAATCTATAATTGTTTCTTTATATTTAAAAAAAAATCAGACCTTTTTTTCTAAAATAATTGAATGGATGCTATCTTTTGAACTCTTGGCATGAAAACAAACTGAGGTTTCTACCCTTCTTTCATGATTTTTCATGTTCATCACTATTTCAAAATAAAGGTCTAAACACGCCTTAGGAGTATGAAAATATTCTTGTTGCAAATTGATAAATTATGGCTCCTCTGTAATTCATTTTGAAAATCAATCACCAAATATGGAAACTACAGATTGTAAGCTTTCAAATGATATATAGTTTGTCAAGATTAGTTTAGGTTTAGTATAGGATATTACTGTTTTAAAAATGTAATGGATTTGGGCCCACCGGTGGGCCGGTGACACTTAAGTTAAAGGGGCTATATGTAAGAATATAATATTAATATGAATCACTTTTAAATTGCCAATGGGTGAACAGCTTGTAACAAGACTTTAAAAAACGAGACCTTCCACGACTTCCTAGCCTGCAGACCGATTTTTATGTGAAGGACTTGGGACGTTTTTTACCGGGAAAATCAAACAGATGTGAAGTTTACGTGTGCTTCTACTCAATGACACATGAGACAATGTTTATGTTCAGGATAATGCCGAAAGAGCTATTCTTTACTGCCATTGTACTGACAATGTGTCATGCCAAGAAAAGGGATTCATTTAAACCATAGGTTCTCAAAGTGCGGCCCGCGGGCCAATGGCGGCCCGCCGAAACATTTCTGGCGGCCCGCGATAACATCTGTAAAACTGTTAAAACTATTGCTTTGAAAAAATGAATATCTCCGTTTAGTGGTGTTTAGCGGCATCCATAGGCATAAGCGGTAATTACATGGTCCGACCGACCGATCGCACTTGACCTCACTCCCAAGGCCACCAGGAACAGTGGTTGTCTACACAGGAATAGGAATCGTGGCCAACCGAAACCAGCACCACAAATCCCATTGCAATTTAAAAGGGTATGTTGACCAAGTAATCAATATTCAATGTGACTTAATAATAATCTTAACAATGTCAAGCTTAATAGCCGCGTTTCCATTACTTCAAAATGTTCGCGGGCGCGAACACTTGCATTTTCCTATCAACAGTGGAAACAACTTAAACTAGTCTATCATTTCTGGTCATACAGAAAATAATAATGCATTATTCGCAACTACTTTTATTTGTGTAAACTCATAACAAGAAAACGTGCTTTTGTAAAATAAAATAAAACAATCAGTAGCCTACTACGCGCTTTCATGATCTCCGTGAACTGGAGCGCGAGAACTGAAACAAAATATAGCCTATGTAGGCTAAAGCTTAAAATGTGCACTTTTAAAGAAACAAACTCGAATCGAAAGCAAATAGCTGATTATGTAATCCGTATGAAAGGTGGATTTCTCTCTAAAAGCGCATCTGCTTAACAGCGGAGATGGAGATATGTTTTTAGCCGACACTTAGAAAACAATCGTTTATTAATAAACAATTAAAATGCCTCGCTGTTTTTTCAGACGCATTTATTATCATTAGCCTATAACTCAAATCAGGCTAGATCAGACACGTACAGGCTATATGGCTCTTCTCATTCATCACTGCGGGAAAAATATAAATTCCAGGTTCTAATTTGGCCTTAGAAAACCAGTAAAATCGACATGTTTTCCATATTAATTTGTGAATATTTAAAATGTTTAATAAAGGGGCAAAAAGTCATTTAAACAAAAATCTGAAAAAGTCTGTCGATATTTACTTTTTTTGCGCAGCAGTTGGTGAAGCCAGTTCAAATTAAAATTTTGTTCAACTTTGCGTTTTAAAAAGACAACAACCGTTCATTTTTCGTTTTTCAGTTACGGGTTAAAAAAGATAGATAATAATATGCAAATCTGCAATAATGGAAACGCGACTGACAAGCAATGATAGAAATGAATGATGATGATGACTTGTTTGGTAAGCTTCTATTTTAAAAGTTTCTTTCTCTCCCCCCCCAAAATTTTCACAAGTTTTGCCAGGTTTAGCCTAAGTTATGAATTAAAATGTGTTTATTGCAACTAATGTAAACTGTAGAGATGCAACCTGGTCATTAAAATAATTTCAAATGGGATTTTCTTTTCAGTCTTTTTTTCTTCGTTTTCTCCCCCCGCCACTTTGGCGGCCCTCAGTTCAATGTTGGGTTCCTAAATTGGCCCTCACCTATCAAAACTTTGAGAACCCCTGATTTAAACTATAAAGCCAGATATACTTTATAATCAAATTATCATAACGGTGTAATTTGAATTGCCTCATCTGTCAACATGATGCCAGTGAACTGCAGATCTTGTGCAAACATATCCACATCACTATGATGAGATGCTTTCTTAACTTTTGCTTTTTCTCACCGCTGTCATTTTTGTTGTGTGTTTATTTTGTTATTGAGAGGAAAGTGTGAAAAAGAATAAAAAAGATCTTTGCCTTGAGTATATCGTTGCCTTAAAGGGGTGATGAACTGAGAAATCAAATTTTCCTTGAGCTTTTGACATCTAAGAGGTCATCATATTATAAGAATATCCTGTAAGTTTCAGAACTGAAAACGTCCTTGTTAGTCCAATAAAAGCTTTTATTGACACCAGGCTCAGCAAACGACTCGTTTTTCAAAGTGGGGAACTATGACGACAAAGAGGATAAAACACCACCTCCGCAGAAGAAGATCAACGCCTACTTCAACACGGCCGGTTTAGCCCCGCCCACCGATTCGCGCATTACACAAAACTCATTATAATATGCAAAACTGTTATCCACTCAAAGCAGTGGGCGTTTACTTCCAAGTCTTCAATGCGAGACGCCCATAAAAACCGAGCGTTTTTGAGCTAGGCTCAAAACTAGGGTAGAAAATAGCCTATTACTTATTCATTTTGATGTTTTTGAATGTAAAAACCAAGCGAACGTCATAAGTTGACCTCAGACAACAATATAAAACAATTTAAAAAGCCAGTTCATGACCCCTTTAAATAACTTTCAGGGCCCTATTTTAACGATCTAAGCGCATGGTCTAAAGCGCACGGCGCAAGTGAACTTAGGGCGTCCGAATCCTTTTTTCCTAGTTTAGAGTCAATCAGAGTCTCATCTCCCATTCCCTTTAACCCTTTCACACGTAAGTTTAAAATATTCTAACTGACCCCCCAGCGTGAGTTTTTCAAGGCGACCGTTATTTAGAACCTGTCACTTTAATGTTTCCATGGTGACGCGTCATTTCTTGTCACGTGACACAGCGCAATCACAACACAGAGCTGAATGAGTGATGATCTGCTTTTATGTCTTTTTTCCTTTTCTATTCAAAATATTCACAAATGTATTAGCTACAGCATGAAACACTGATATTCCGATTGTCAAATATGTGCAAGTGGATGTGTTTTGTTGTTTAAACATATTTATAACGATCGCATTAGTTGAGCTGTATGCACGATGGGCGGCGCCATGTTAGTTTGTTTCACAGTTCAGAGAATCGGACCTGTTGTTTCTCACGAAATACATGAAAGTAAGTGGCCGGTGAACTAGGAGAAGAATAGGGTAAAATGTAAAGCTACTTACACAATGTGTATCTGATATGAATAAAACGTTTTGTCTTATTATAATGGAAATGATTATTGTTGCCGTTTCCATAGACATCAGGGTCTATTTTACTAATTCAAAATCACTGTTTTGCTAGTACTTATGTGTATTTAAATGTCTGAAACCTAAAATAAACATTATGTGGTTTAAAATACTCAATAGTTGTGATATATGACAGCACTGAGTGCGTCTGTCTCTGGCTCAGCGCCAGCCAACGCGCGAAAGCACGTTTGAATTTAGCAGTTGATCACGTGATGCACTGACCGTTCTAATCACACCGGTGTGATCGTACGCTCCAGGGACCAGCCAAGACTGATCACACCGGTGTGATCGTACGCGTCAAAGGGTTAAAAGCCAGTTGTGTTCGCGCCATGGCGGATTAGCTTTTTACATGGCGGAATTTGAAAGGAAAAACTGAACGCTTCTCTAGCGAGGAAACGGCTCTGCTCGTGCACGAGGTTAAAGCGCGCAAGCAGACCCTCTACGGGATAAAGTGTACGTGCGTTGTGGACCCGTCTATAGGCGCATACTAACACGCTCTTTAAATAACAAAAACAATATTGCCACTTGTTGGCGCAGTCTATTTCAGTTGCCTCAAAATAGCAATGCGCCAACATTACGCCTGAACACACCTCGTTTTCAGACCAGCACGCCCATGGGCGCACAAACGGGCGCAAACACATTTGCTATTTAAACAACGAGGCGCAGGACGTGAAAATTATATCTGCGTTAAACTGAAACTACGCCGCATTGCGCCAGGTGTATGATAGGCCCCATAGTCTCTTGTGCGTTACGTGTGCACGAATACAAGCAAGAGCAATACGTTGCTGGCTGTAGTTCACTTAACGGCCACCGGTGTCACTTATAACAAGGGTTTTTTGAATTCTACAAATAGCCCCTTTAAAAACTGAAAATATGTCAAGAATATGTCACTTGAAGATGAGGTGCAGTACCTGTTTGTTTGCAAAGACAAGAAGAACAGCATCACGCAATTCGTCTTCTGCGAGCATCCTCATTAACTCCTCCCGCGCTTCGTTCACTCTCTCCCGATCGTTGCTGTCAACCACGAAGATAAGACCTACGATGAGAAAAAAACAGCAGAGATGAATACAGACTTATTATTATTCAACAAGCTACATTAACACAACACGAAAGCATACATAGATTGTATCCAACTATGCAATGTTTTGCTTTAAAAAGACATTTTTGTTTTTGAATATAACTTCTGAGCTATTTTGCATTAACATTCTATCTGGACATGTTAACCAGTGTTATATAATATCATTGAGATACTATTATAGTTTTTTTTGTATATATATACTTTATATACTATTTTAATATACTAATGGTTAACGTTTATATTATTTCAAGTAACAAAAATGTTTTTTAATGGGTTTTGTTGTAGTTAACTATAATAACCCTGCTTCACCAATGTTTACAAGGTGGCTCTGCACAGTTTGCGCTCGCTAAACACAAGCTACACAGGCGCACTAAATCTACTCAATGCAACATGTGTTTAAGCGAGAGAAGTTGAGTGTATGTGTAACTCACCCTGTGTATTTTGAAAGTAGTGTCTCCAGAGTGGTCTGATTTTATCCTGACCACCAACATCCCACACAGTGAAGCTGATGTTCTTGTACTCCACAGTCTCCACATTAAAGCCTAACACAAACACAAACATTGTGTGACCAGAATCACAACATCATTTTACTATTTCAGATGGTACAATTCAATTACTGTGCATTCAACAACTGTACAAATGTAATTGCTCTAGAGTCTAGATGTATGTAGGGGACACCAAATTTAACAATTTAATTTCTTAAAGGGATAGTTCACCCAGAAATGAAAATTCTGTCATCATTTACTCACGCTCAAGTTGTTTCATACCTGTATGAGTTTCTTTCTTCTGCTGAACACAACAGAAGATATTTGGTAGAATATGTGTAACCAAACAGTTAATGTATTAACACTTCCATGGTATTTTTTTCCTCCAGTGGAAGTCAATGGGGTCTTTCAACTGTCCATTGAGGGTTAGTAAATTAAGACAGAATGTTCATTTTTGGGTGAACTATCTCTTTAAGAGATGTTATATAACTCAAAGATCTATACAAACATACCTGCCATTTTTAGTAATAGAGTAGTAGTAATAGAGTGCAACATTCGGGTAATCAAAGTAAAAACTCTCCATAGATACATTGATTTTAATGATAAACCTTTAAAGACAGCCCTACGGTGAGCTATGAGGTTGATAATCGATGGTATTTGCTTCTGTTGCATTATTTAAACTTATTTTCAAATTGTGTTTAACAGTTGAATTTGTGGTGAAAAACTACATTACCCATGATGCTGCTGTACAGAAAATTCTAAACAATCAGAGAGTTGAAACAATCAATACGAGCCAAAAAAGCTCTTTAGTTCTTTCCCTCACTAAAAAGCCATTAAGTGCACAGACTTGTATTTTTGTCAGATTTTCAAATACTTTTTTTTTTTGCTTGCCTTAAATCAATGTTATGATTCACCTCGTAGCTGTTTGGTTTGGTTCATGGCTTATAGCGCTTACAGACTTTTTTTAAATCCCTATGGGAGAAATTAATGGAAGAAATCCTTCCACAACCAGCGCCGCAGAAAAAGTGGACGGGCACTAATGCACATAGAAGCATTAAAATTGTATTTAATTGGCCTCATCCCACAAAAAGAGAAATTTACTTTTATTTATGATGAAATACTACTAAATTTGTTTATTTTGTGTTTGAAATTACCATGAATTCTGTCTGCGGATGTACAGATAACTGCTTAAACAGTAATGTAGCAAAGTCTACAAAACAATCCAATGAAGTAAGAGCAAGATTTTACCAATGGTTGGGATGGTGGTGACGATCTCTCCCAGCTTCAGTTTGTAAAGGATGGTGGTTTTACCAGCAGCATCTAATCCAACCATCAGAATTCTCATCTCTTTCTTCCCTATCAGGCTCTTCAGCAGATTGCCAAAAATATTCCCCATGATTCAATGTTTTGCTTCGTCCAGCCAATCACAATCCAGAAAGCTGTGAGTCCTTTTGTAGAACAATCCACTGAGGTAAAAGACTGAAAACCTTGAGAAATAATGCTCGCAGAAGAAATAATAATCTGGAGTCCTGCAAAGGGAAAAAAAGAAAATCAATGTGGATGACATGTACTTGGCCGTCAATGAAATGTTATATTCATTTATTAATTTTGTATATTAAAATAGGAAAATATATAAATCGAAAAGTTATTTAAAATAATAATATTTCACAATTGTACTGTTTCACTGTATTTTATCAAATAAACGGCATGTATAGAGAGAAAATGTATTTAAAATTGTAACTATATATATGTATACTGTATAGTTATTTTAAATTGTAATAATATTGCACCATAGTACAGATTTTTGTCATTTTTTCCTTTCTTTCTTTTTTTTAACATAATTTTTTATCAAATAAATGTAGTGTGTGTGGTTTAGGGTATGTCCCCACAATGATGGCAATGCTTTTGGACATTTTTTGGTTACCATGAGGAAAACAGCTTATAAATCATAGTAAGTGATGCTTTTTGAAAATATAAAAATGCAGAAAGTTTTCTGTGATGGGTAGGATTAGGGTTAGTGTAAGGGGATAGAATATACAGTTTTTACAGTATAAAAATCATTATAACTATAGAAAATCCCTATAAAACACGGAAACCCATCATAAGTATGTGTGTGTGACTGTGTGTGTGTGTGTGCTCTTGTTTTTGTGATATATGAGGACACAAATGTGTATAATGACATGCATATTACACTGGTATTACAACTTACACGTGATATATGAGGACATTGCATGAGTCCTCATATTTCAAATAGCTTAAAAAACATAAAAAACAATGGGGTTTTTTAAATGTAAAAATGCAGCATGTCTCCTGTGATGGGTAGGTTTAGGGATAGGGGCAGTGTAGGGGGATAGAATACACAGTTTGTCCAGTATAAAAGTCATTACGCCTATGGAATGTCCTCATATATCACAAAAACACAGCTGTGTGTGTGTGAGTGAGTGAGTGAGTGAGTGAGTGAGTGAGTGAGTGAGTGAGTGAGTGAGTGAGTGAGTGAGTGAGTGAGTGAGACAGAGAGAGAGAGAGAGAGAGAGAGAGAGAGAGAGAGAGAGAGAGAGAGAGAGAGAGAGAGAGAGAGAGAGAGAGAGAGAGAGAGATCAGCATGGAAAAAAGCAACTGAGAAATTTAAAATTGATTCCAGTGGAAAGGGGGTTTCAGTTCAAAGCAAATGATCTTCATTAGATATTATTTAATTCGACTGACTGAATTTGGCATGTGAATGGTGATCTGTGTAATCTGAATGTTTCAGACAAGCTTTCTTTTACCCATTGTAATCGTGCAACTGATTATCAGAGAGGCGTTTGTAAGTTGAAATGAAAAATACATGTCTCAAAGTTCTGAAGGGGTGTGTTAAATGAGCATGATGCTTCTGGATGTGTATTTACATTTCTATTTTTACTAGTATATGCTTCATGTGTAGAAGCTACAAGAATGTTAACAACTACAGTACACACACGGACTGAACCGAAGAAACTATGATCCTGCCATGTCTTCAGGCAGTATAGCAATCTGTTCATCCCTCACATATCCCTCCATCACACAAACCCCCACAAGTCATCCCTGAACATTCCCAGATGGAGTTATCCAAGATGTAGAACACATTTCCTGAGAACCATTTTGTCCTAATTCATGAATGTCATAGTATAACACGTATATAACATTGAGTCAAATGTCCAATTACACAAATGTGTTGTGTTTTTGTTTTGGATTTTAAACAACTAGTTTTAATCGCTTTTAACTTGAGTTTTTTTTTTTTTTTTGCCCTCCAGACTAAAATACCAATCACCATATTCTTGCAATAACTGTGGGGTAAAAAAATAAAGGCAAAACAAAACACAATAAAACCACATTGACACAAGAGTCAGCTATATAATGAAGGTAGATTTGAACCAAAATATTGAACTGTGTACTGTGGACAAGATCGGTGTGTTCTCAAATGTTTTAGATGTTGTAAATTTCAAAAATCAGATTTGACATATTTGTTGTTTCATGACTTGTTTTGTGTTGCAAACATTACAGCTTGCTCAAAAACCTATAATAGGCTTTTTAATAGCATGTTCACATTGTGACAGCTTATAATGTCACAGTCGAAATGTTCAATAAACCTGTGTAGCAAATCCTGTAAGGTTATAAAGAAACTGACTTTAAAAAAAAAAAAACTTATCCCGAGTAGGCTTATATTAACAACTACATAAATGGTTTCCCCAACATAAAATCAAGACAAGAGGTAAAGTAAAGGTGCATAACCAGCAATAAACTGTACTTCATGCACATGCAAATTTGTCCATTAAGACTCTTATACCTTTACTTAACCGTTTGTCTTGATTTTAGACAGGTAATTAGGTGATAATTAATAATCTGATAATGATGCTTTAGGTCATTATTGTTTGGAGCATAAGAAACAAATTTAATAGAGATTAAAAAAAAAAAAAAAACATATATATAATATGTTATGTTATGTCCTCTTATGACACCAGGACCCTTTTATTAAGAAAATTAAAAGACACGAAAGGATAAGGCAAAAACAATGTTTTTTTAATTCATAAGTATTTTAGGTTTCAAGCTTTTTTTATCCAAACTTTGTATAAGGATGATTCTCAACTATGTTATCAAATATATAACAGAATGATTTGATATACCATTTTACTTTATGCAATATGCATGTAAACATGGCCATAAATGCCATTCCCATTGACCCATTCTATGCAATGCATCTATACACTGTATCTAATTTGCATATTAATATATTCTTCGGGCAATATAATGAAAAAAGACGTGTAACAATGGGAGTGATAAGTGGGAATATTTTCATAAGAATATCTCTTATTTAATGAGAATATCGATATATTATTTCTTTCCCTATTCACATGTTGTGCCTCCAAAATGCCTGATATGCAATGCTGTAAATCCTGCTGTCTAATATATGAAATCGATGCCCTGTTTCAAAACAGAAAGTCATATTCTGGTTTGAAACCCCATAACATTTTCCTGAGATGCTGATTTCTGACAAACAATTTGAAAATTAGTCAGATTTAAATGATACTTACAAAATTTGATCATATTTCCATAAGAGTGCTACATTTGACCATTCATTAATTTTTAAAGACCAAGAAGAGGGGGTTGTCATGGTTACACAAAACATTTCCCTGCTGGAAAAAAAAACCTGCTAAAACCGGCCTAGGTTGGTTGGCTGGTCTTAGTTGGTTAAAGCTGGAAGTAGCTGGTTTAAGCTGGTCTTCCAGCCAGACCAATCTGGTGTTCAGCTGGTCTTAGCTGGTCTCCCAGCTTGACTAGCTAAGACCAACCTGGTCAGCTAAAAAAAAGTGTCTAAAACCCCTCTGAAGCCAGCCTGGGAGACCAGCTTAGGCTGGTTTTAGCTGTTTTTTTCCCCAGCAGGAAATTGGTATCTCTGCAAAGCCCTGAATGTGCTCTTTACAGGACGTGCAGACTTAAAACTGTGACATGCATGTTGTCAGAGAAATGTGCTGAAATATAATGTCCTCTACAGAGGAATAATCTCCATTGCTGGGTCTCCGGAGGAACGGAAGCTGCGGGGGTCTGACTCCGGGTGTGCTGTCCATGGTGCTGACGCTCCGACACACACACTAAACACACCGGGAATATTTCTACACTGGTTTTAGTAACATACTTCTTCATTTTAAAGGCTTCTGAATGATTCGAGAAACCCAGGTTTACTCAAACCCGTGCAAGGGACCCTAACAATGTATTTATGTCACGAGACAACGAAATACTACAGGGTTACTAGACGGTTGTCCACATTATATCGAAAACGGTGATCTTTAAAAACATTAACATGGTTCTCAAATACATATTTCGATTACTGCCGGTTTCCTTATAAAGGCCTACGACCCTTTGACAATGTCGGCGTAGGATACAAAGATCGGAGCTTCTCCGTGAAGAGATGCGTTTGGCACGAAGCAGAATGATGAAAATGTTCTTATGCAATACCACCAAAATTCATGCAAAAGCAAACCATAATCAATCACAACCCAAGCGCAACACAAGCCGTCTTAATGTCTGAAGAGGCGTAAGGCAGCACATCATGTGTGATACTGATCTTCATTCATTTGGAAAGATAGATCCGCTAGTAGCGCATACGTGCCTCGCGGAAGGCCTGTCGTCTCTCTATTTCCAAGAGCAATACAAGACGCGCTGTCATATTCTACCTAAAGCACAAGGAACATTTCAACCAGTCAGAACCACTCCGAAGCGTTTCATTTTAGAGCAATCACAACAATTGAACGTATCCGGATTACCTTGCGAGATGACACCAGCCGATTTTGGACACGGAGAGACGGAGAGAAGATCTCACGAGAGTTTACGCCGACAGTACAGGCTTCGATGGGGATTTCTCGCGATGTTTGGTTTTCGCATCTTGAGACTGATTCCAGTCAGGTAAGGTAGCCTTAGTCAAATAAATGACACGTCAAGGAAATGCTTGAGGTGTAACAACACTCTTTCAAGCTACAAATTCACTGGGAATTCACTGGAAAATTATAAATCACTGGAAATTTCTAGCATTTTTGTAATTCTTGGAGCCTATAAAACAAATGGGCCTGCATTTATTTCTGAACTTCTGAAACATCAAAAAAGAAGAAAAAAAGAAAAGAAAAAGAAAACATTTTGAAAAACAAATAGTGAATAAATCAGGACTATATAGTATATTTATTTACTTTTAAGTAGCCTAAATATCATCATATCCTACAGTAGCGATTAGGTATAGCAACAGTTTATTATAAGAAGCAATACATAAACTGAAGTTTTAAAAAAGAAGATTGTCAACCTAATGTGAATTCAAAGAAGTAAATATTTATGCTCACAGCGGATGGTAGGCTACACCTTGCTTTACAGCTTATTTATGGAGATAAAGCATTGTAGATTAAATGTACAATTTGTAAACAAAAAAGAAAAGCAATGAAAACAAGTGCTACATTTTCATTTGGTTGATCTATGTGATCTTGAAGTTAGCAAAAAGGAAGTTGTGATCATCTTTTCTTCCCTATTAATATATATAATGAAACGGCTTCTTAAAGTTCCCATGAAATCAGAATTGAAGGCTTTTATTTTTAATATGTTAGCCTTAATGTTATCTTTAAGCTAGTGTGCACCAAAACAATAGATATAAGATATAAGCATTCAAAACTTACAGTCTCTCACTTCTGCCAAATATGGATCAACGATTTTGATGACATCACTCTGCACTTCAGCTTCTCTGTCCAATCAAATGCTCTCAAGAATCTAAAGCATCCCTCCTCCTACACTATAAATAGACTCCGAAACTGCGGCTGAAATCGGTCACTTGTTGAAAAATGTACTGTTTTTTCACATGGTGAATGGCACATAGTGCACTAAATAGGGGATAGGGAACGATTCAGACAGTGTCAATATGTTTTCCATTGGGGCAAATGAAGTCTGCTTTCACGTTAGTGTCACGTGAACCGCAGTAGTGCACACACAGTCTGCTCCGGTCCAGAGACACGACAGAACAGAGCGGATCATGAACCGAAACATACCAGAAAATGTATCTGACCCATTTGAATTCTCCACAGCAATATGAGGAGATTAGAGGACAAACGGTCAGAGATTAGGAGGAAACTGTGGCTTTACCGAGTTCAGCGGCTCTGGCCGAGCTGTGATATAAATTCAACGCAATTGGCTATTTTTAAAAAGGGGAGGAGCTGGTCAATATGCCCCGCCCTTTCTTCCTGTTTCAGTGGAAATTACGTCAACACATTGAATAATGCCTTCAGCGGGCCTTTAAATGAGACAAAATGTAGGGTGGGGTTGTCCATGAGAAATTGGCTTTATGCCACAGCTTCACTACTTCCTGAACTTCAGCCAGCCCTTTGTTTCCTGTCTGTCATCATTGGACAAACTGATTAATCCAGGTGCGCCTGGCCTCAGTAACAATAATCAGGCACACCAGGATTAATCAGTTTGTCCAATAATGACAGACAGGAAACAAGGGGCTGGCTGAAGTTCAGGAAGTAGTGAAGCTGTGCATAAAGCCTATTGATAGGATGGTTGTGGTTTGGTCGAACTCATGTGAGTGACAGGTTGCCCCACCCTCATGCCAGTAAACACCTCATCAGAGAAGTCGTTGCAAGGGGGAGGAGAATTTTTTTTAATTAAATTTACGAGGGCACATAAATGTATTAAAAAAATAATGATGTGCACGGATAAACCAAAATTATAATAATAAAATGGTAATATTCCATAAAAAAGTCCTTTTTTATGTTCACTTTAATTGATCAATGTTTCAAAACAGTGCTTATTAGAAAAGTTTCTTCCCCCAGGCAATCTACCTCTGTGGAATGATAAATATGTGCAATACCACTTAGGCCTACATTTATTTGACAATAACCTACTTCTTTTTATTCCATTCCCTGTAAATTCTATTCTGCTCTTCTGTATATAGCACACCTGTAGGCTATAGCCTATATATATAAAACAGACACATAAATTATATATACATATGTGTGTGTGTGTGTGTGTTCGGGGGTTGGGCTATTTATTTTTATGACCAATGGAAGACAGGGGAGTGTTCAGGAAACTAGTTTGGCAACAAGTATTATATTTTGCAGTTTCGTTTAGTGGCGTAGAAATGATACACTTTAAATAAATAAAGGAATAAAACAGAAGGATGCAGTGCTTTTCCCAACCTCAGAACATTAAGCGCCTTCTAGCGGGGAAGCTCTCTAACAGCAGTGGCCATGTGGAGACTGGAGAGACTTCTGGGATGCTGGCGGATTATGAGGCGGGGATTCCAGTGACCCAGGTATTGGTCCAGTGCTCGAGGGTCGCCTTGCCCCGCCGTTATCTCTCCACTATAATAACACATCAGCTTTAACTGGCATCTCGCCTTGAGTGACTTCTTCAATCTGATCGGCCGCTCGAGTATTTATTGGCTCCCTCAACGCTGCAGTGCGAGACTCTCGAGACGGAAGTGAGCCTGTAGACTAGCTGTTATCCTTTCTGTTGTTGGTTATTGTTAGTGCTGATTTTCTCATAACCTGAGACACGATGGGAATTCGGACGGGGATCGTCCTTATTTTTCTCGCAGCTTTTGCATTTGTTGCAGCTGAGGACGGAGAAAGCACAGAAGGCGTGATCGAACAGTTGGTTGTGGAGACATTGGTAAGTTGGGTCAAGTTTTTATGAATGACTATTATTATTACAAGAGTCCACGTAGCCGATCACTGCATGCGTGCTTTCATCACAAATGCATGTGTTAACGTCTCAGTACAAACATGTAATGTTGCATCTGTTAGCCTAGTCAATGTCCTGCGCATTTCATGTCATTTTCAGTACCACTCTTCAATATTTCTGTTTTTGACTATTTTAGGTGATGCCAGAGACATGCACGATTACATCAGAGATGGGGGACACGCTTCAAATCCATTACACGGTATATACATCACAGCGCTATGTTGTAAAACCAGGCAGCTCCCAATGAAATCTCTAGGTATTATGACATAAAACATGCGAAATGGACTCTCGCGGGGTTATTTGCACATGAAATCATTCATCAGTCTGATGTGGCAGACTCGAGCTGACATCTGGACTCGCCATACCTTAATGAAAATAGAGTTGTAATGCACAAAGATTAACCCGAATAACACATTCCTTTTAAGTTCATCGTGGAGTCACGTTCCAGTTTCGAAATGCAGTAGTTATTTGTATGTGATAGTATTTCAGTTTTAAGCGAAACCAAATGTTCTAGGGGAGGCGGAGCAACACGTCAGCATTTGAGTCAGCGCGAGCAGCGTCGATCCGGACTCGAGGAAATGCACGAGGGGCGAGTGCGCGCACACGCGCTATAGGGAACATAGGGGAGACCGAGTGTTGTTGTTTACAAGTTGTTGTTGTTGTTGTTGTTGCTGTTTTTTACTCCCGTGAAAAAATCTTAACTTTGCATCAAAATAAGATTTTTTTTGTAGGCTAAATTAATAAATAATTGAGCATGATTACATTTTGTGACAAGATGACCCAACTATTGTCATATATGGTGTACTATATTAAACGTGCCATTAATAACCATTTATATTACATTAATCAATGTGGCAGTACTTTTGTTAGCCTACTTGCAAGATCTGAAACTGAAATATAAAATATAAAAAAATATTTTTTATTGTAGGCCATATTACATTTCGTTTAAACTTGAAGTAATAAATGACTAAATCTAAATAAAATAAAACTAATAAAATGACAAAACAATTTTAAATTAAAGTGAAAATAGTTATATATATATATATATATATATATATATATATATATATAGTTGATATTTTTAATTCGATTTTTTATATTTTCTGTTATAAAATTAAAATGCAAAATTGTTTTAAATTTTTTAAAATTGTGTATATATATAGGCTATATATATAGTACTTTTGTTACTACTTGAAAGAAAATGAACTTTAACTGAAATAAAAAAATATAAAAAAACAAAATATAAAATAAAACAATTCTTAGTATATCACATTTCGTTTAGTTTAACTTGAAGTACTAAAATAACTAAATCTAAATAAAATAAAATTAATAAAATGACAAGAACAATTTAAATAAAAGTGAATATATATATATATATAGGTGTTATTTTTAATATTTTCTTTTTTTAAATACCATTTTTAAATTGTTTTAAAAAAATAAAAAGTTTAAAATTGTTTTCGACATTTTAGTTTATTTAGATTTAGTTATTATAAATCAAAAATTAAAAAGTAAATATTATACCAAATATATACAAATATTCACACACAAACAATTGTTTGGCAGACAAAATTGTAATCAATAAAATGTATATCATTTTTACTTATAAAACACGTGACAACTGTGTGACAACATGCCCCAACTTGATATCTTTCCTTTTAAAATCTGCCTACCTTACATAGTTCATGCTTGTCTTAATGCAGGCTGATTCCAGTTATTACTTGTTTTTTATTGAGTTTACTTTTTACCTGAGTTTACTTTTTACTTATTCTATAGGTATTTACTACAGATAGTTTGGTGCGTCTACATAAAAATGTGTGGAACTAACCTACGACTGTTGTTCATCTCCTGTGCAGGGCCGATTAATGGACGGGAAGGTGATTGACACCTCTCTGTCTCGTGAACCTCTGGTCGTAGAGTTGGGCAAGAGGTCTGTCATCGCAGGTAAAAGGCTCCGTCATCGCAATGCAACCCGAAATTACAGCATGTTCATAACAACAGAAGTAAAACAGAGCACAGATTTTAGAACTTATCATATTTAGGTTAAATATAGTACTCTTGTAGGCTATAGATTAATTCCAACTGGACCGCGACACAAAATGACAACTGTGGCACCACTTCACCGTTTCTGCAGTTTAAAGTGAGCAG